GATGAAGGAGATGAGGGAAGAGAGAGAGCTTTTGAGGAGAAAGCTCCAGAAGTCTAAACAATATGAAGCCATGATGGTCACTGAAGATTTTGAGCCAATGGCAGCTGGGTTTTTCTTCCATTTTCTTCCACCAAGGTCACCACCTGCACCTGTTTCCCTCTGGTCTGATTCTGATTCACAAAGCGAGCAGTCATCCATGGAAAGAAAGAACACCCCAGTTTTGATGAGTCTTTTGCCCATTAAGACGCCTAATTCAGAAGTTTCTTCCATCAAACTCGAGGGTTGTTCGGATTCTGATGATGTTGACACCTCTCTGCATCTGTAAGCTAAGCTAAGTATACTTGTTTCCAGCAATGTAATATGTTCAGAGTTGTCACTAGTAATTAAATAAATGGCTTTCATGTCTTAGTTATATTTATTTGAAAATGAAGCATTCCGAACCAAAAAAAAAAAAAGAAAAAAAAGAGGAAAAGGAATTCTGTTTTACAATTTAACAAGTGTAATTCATGAATACAAATACTTGAAAGAAGTTCATTGAAGAAGCTCAGGATACAACATTGTCATGTAACTAAGAACAGCAGTGTAAATAAAATGCCTATTTTTCCAATTCGAAACAATAAGTTGCACTAAGTAAAGTGACACCAAGCTCTCTACATATGGAATTGCATATATAAAACCGAGTGTTAAAGCGTACAACATGGAGTGCAATGACAGCCTTTACTGGTTTGTTGTCTTGAGTCTTTTGACAGCAGAGAAATAGCTTATCGTTCTCACTATATTCATTTGTCAAGAATTGACTATTTCAGTGAAACACATGGGACTCACTGCACTATGGATTCTAATTTCCCAGCTTCTTGAAATTCTGATGAATTTAATCCAAGATTTTGCTGTCTTTGTCACCTCATCTTATACTTTCATGATCCATATGTTATCTGCCACGCAAAGAGATCCTCCCAAAAGCCCAATTCACATTTATAACTCAAATCATGATCCCCAAATGGAGGTGTTAAAAAAAAATAGAAAATACAAGATAAGACCTGTTCAAACCTTGCACTAGCTAAAAGGGGAAAACATGAACATAAAGCCATGCATCTACACCTAATTAAGCTTAGTACTGTGCATAATGGAATTGGGTATTGGATTCAATATAATTCATCAACTCCCCAGGACTGTGCTGACTCTTCTGTTGCTTAAATCTTTTAGAAAACAAGAATTAATTTCTTGTAAATTTCCTAATCTCAATACAATTAACTTGTTTTTAACAGTAATAAGACAGATTAATCTCGAAATATATGTAAACTAATATAAAAGATCGCTAAAAAAAAAAAAAAATACAGAGCACAACTTAAGAAAGTTAGAATTTGGTTGAAATTCATTTCTGACAGTTCATGATTGATGCAAGTTTGAAGCTCTTCACAGTGGACTGACTGGAGTAATTTATTTGCTTTTCAAGGATATGCTCTGTTTCCATCATGTTTAATTAGGCTACTCCGCCATGGTTTTCTTCCCAACATCTATGGGCGAATCTGTGGCTGCAGTCTGCAATCTGCTTCGGTATTTTCATTTCAAGTTTGAGTTTCAATATAGGCATGAGAGAGAATCAATGTTAGACAAATGCATTGTTATTTTGCATTTATAAAAGTTATGCATTATCACGAGGCCATAATATTTTGGGATTATAGATGAAAATACAGAGCATCTTTCTTGAATCTTGCTCATACACCGCCTCGAACTGTCCAAGTATGGGGTTTGGCCAATATACAATCACCAGCCATCATCTTCCATTCAAGGCTTGATCGTTCTATCCATTTCCTTCACTATCTCTTTCACCATTTCAATTTTCAATGCCCATAAAAAAGGACATGTATAAACTTGATTCAAAAGTTTTAATCCATATATAATATATTGGACTTGGTGGAAAGACTGATCGGTTGGTTTTAAAACTATATATGATATATATTGGACTGGTAAATTAGCATTTTAGGAAAAATGGACCACACAAGGAGAGATAGCTCTTCGACGTCCTCAAAAGTGTGTATACTGTATAGTTCTGGGCCAACGTTTATGCTTAGTTAAACTGCAGTGCTCATGACAGGAGATCCTGACTGATAACAAATATTACGAAAGCCGTTAATAGGAAAGCAGGTTCTTAAAATATTGGAGAGCCAGAAGGAGTAAGGTCTCCAGATTCGATCATAAATAGTCAGCAGAATACAACTGTAAAAACATTAGAATCTCTAACCTGAAATGGAATAACTTCTATGCTTAGAAACTTGATTAATTAAGAAGAAAACATATCAAATCTACCAATCTTTTAAGTTTAAGAGTTTGGTAACTTAAACTCTTCAGTTCAACTTAATCCACCTTATACATATATATATATATATAGACAAAACTCCCTACAGGCTTTGTTTGGAAAATATTTATTAATCAATAATGTTATTAGACCTATATTTGGAAATGTGACTCAAGATGACAGGTGAAACTTGAAAGGTTTATGGGATCAGTTCCTTTTTCAGGTCAACAATCATTGCAGAAAAAAAAAAAAAAAAAGAAGCGATGCAAACTTGGCTAGAGCTATTCATATGACAGCTACTAAATATGTAAACAAATAAGAACGGCTAAAGCAAACAAACACATATAAGAGTCGCACAATTTTTACGTGGAAAACCTCTTCGAATAGAAGAGTAAAAACCACGGGACCTCTGGTCCATAAAAAATAGCTCCACCATATCAATTTATTGTTACAAAATCATCTTCAAACAATCTAATAACAGCACAAAGAAAGAGAGAGAACAAGTTATACAAAAAGAAAATTGAGAACAAATGAGAATGAAATAGATACGGGTTCGGATAATGAAACACATATTCTTGAAGACACTCTATGAGCCTCAGTGAATTTCCGCCATAGCTTTTCCAAGACAAAGAACAGGGGCACTGAAGAAACACGAGTTCATTTTATTCTTTAGAAATGAATCAAAGCAAAATAAATGAAATGCAATCAACACAGTTTAATTTGAGCTTCAAAATCACTACCTTTTCTTTTGGTTTTTTCTATTTTTTTTTTTTCTTCACATTCTCTATCTCCAACTCCTCCTCGCATTTTGGAAAGTGAAGCATGTAATCTTGTTGCATCTGTTTCAAGACATGAATCAAAATGAAACTGCTACATGCATTCTCGAAAATGTTTTTCTGGTGGTGGTATGAGAAGCAAGCTGAAATATGTCAGAAATGAGAATGAAACAAAATAAGTTAAAAACAAAGCAACCTGAAGAAAACGTAATTAGTGTAAAGAAAAGAGACGATTTGGAGGACAAGGACTTACCAGCTGTGATGAACACTGAAATATACTGAATTCCAGCTCCACTCATTCTGTTTTCATTGCATTCCCCATTTCCTCCTAGATATTAGAGAGTAAGGAGACAAGGAATATATCAGAAGCTCCCACTGAAATAGAATTGCTAACAAGCTAAACTTTTATTTAACCTGCAAACCCAAAGTTACCAATCTATAAGTAATCTATTAAGAACACAGTATTATAAAGAAAGAGGACAAAGCACAAGTGAATAAGAACAAAAGAGAGTTCACTTTATCCAATTTGTGCCTTCAGTGTCTGCCATCAGAACCCCTTCTTTGACTAAGAGTCCATTATATGTATGCATAACCAAATAACAGAAATTGGGAAAAGAAGAAATGAACCCTTCAAAATGCACTTGGCACTTACATTTTCTTCAATAAGACTAGCTGAGACAGAAGTTCTGCACTT